AGAATCCGACACCGCAGAGTCCCAAGAGCATGTCCCCCGAACATTTTATACGGTCCAATCTGGTTCTCCGAGGTTCGAAATGGTGAAGCACGAAATACTATTCCCAGCATGGTGAACCATACTCCACCGTGTACAGATTTTGTGGGGCGTACTCTTGGGACACGCCCTGAGGGGGTGTCCGAAGTAAGACAAATTGTGACCTTCCGGGATGTCACCGGAAGGTACAGTACGGTATTCATTGCTTTTAGAACGGTTATAGAGCATAAACTCTAGGTTCTCAGACGTCCCAAATCCTTAGGGCGTGTCCCCAAAAATCGTCAACCCGTTTTGGACACGTAGAGCCATCTGACGGTATGCAATGTGAATCAATTTTCAAACTGATCCCGTTTTGGGAACAGGCCCAACATGAAGGGTGCAGCTCGGAAGGACAGCACCAAGACCAGTACAGACATGGTGGCGGGTAACGGGGTCCCGCCATGCGAAACTAGCGCAACAGGCACATAGTGGATTTGGCAGGGAAAGTTGTTCGCTAGCGACGTGCGAGGCCGCAAAGTTTCGCGCGGAAATTTCGCTAGAGGTGGTGTTGATATTGGATGGCAAATTGGATTTTTGTGCAGTTTTTATTTTGTCGTGCGGAGGTACCTGGAAACGTGCGCTTGTGTCCGCCAATTTTGGGTGTGAGTTGAGCGTGTCCTTTTTGGGCGCGTTTTATGGTTACATGCCTACAAGTGGTAACTGAACTCGGTGTTGAATAAGGCACGTACTTTAGTGACACGCCCTTAGGCTCTACTTCGGACACCCCCTAAAAGACGTATTTCCTTTATGTACGTGTACCTTACTCCATTAAAACGAGTTTTCCCTTCGCTATATATATTCAACTATCGTATTCCCCCGGATAAAACACCCAGGGGTGTTAATAAAAACCCATGTAAAATTTCAAGGGGGTATAATGAATGGCACATTTTGTATAACGCCCGAGGGGGGCTATGGAATGACACATTTATGTTTATGAAGTGGAATTGAACTGTATTGTAGACTATTCTTTTGTGCCAATTTTTTTCGATTCTTGCATTTGATCGCGTATATGGTGAGGAGGACCATCGTCATGCCACAATGCAAGCTAACAGTCACAGATTGCCTGCGTCACAAGTTGTCACGTTCTATCAGATCGTGGTGGCAAGTGGCAAGTGGCAACCTCGACGCCACAATGTGACAGCGCACCAAAGCCGGAAGGAATCTGCTGCAGATTCCTTCACGACCCAACCAGGGCCGACCGACATGGATTCTCCCGCGCTGCAGTGTTGACTGTAAGGAGTGTGTTCCCATGAGCCTCGTATCAGACTCGCAACATTCGCCTGAGTGACGAGAATTCCAGGCATGGTAACAGTTCTACACCGCATTGAACCAATTCGCGTCGAGCTTGCACTTCTCAGTGACACGCGAGTCTGATAAGAGACACTCTGATAAGAGGCAAAATCTAAAGAAATACAGTGACGAACCAGGGGGGTGGTGTATATGTTTCATGCCAAAAACTAGGGTGGTATGAATATCCAGTTTAATAAAGCACCCACGTCCGCCCAAACCACCCATGGGTGATTAATTCCGGCGGGTGTTTTATCCGGGGGAATACGGTATTTCTCGAAAATGCCAGTATTATTACTCACAAGTTGCAAAATTTATGCAATGCAGGGGTATGCCATTCAGTTTGAGTAGAAACCTAACCAGGAACCACTTAGAAAGGAGGAAAAGAGACAAACAAACGAGAAGCACAGGGAAAACCCCCTAAGACACCCAACGTAAGACCAAACAAAAGAAAGGCAATAAGAACCACACCATGAAGCGATGCAATATAGTCTGTGGGATCTTCAAGATTGAACTGCAGTAGTGCGCTTTGCGGAAGCGACTGATTGGTCGATGAACCCTCTCAGAGTGAATATAACATAACAATGTTGATTCTAGCAAAGGGATGCATGGTTCATATAGTGATAGAAGAGAATGCGAAGGGTTTAGCCAAGATGTACTTAACAGGGGTACATTCCCTTTGAGGTTCTAGATCTGACTCAGGTAACTGTACACGACTTCGGTAATTGCATGCGCTCTATTGCACGGTCGGTTGTGTGTCCTTGCTGTCGTGACGGACCCTTGGACTTCTATCGGTTCGACACTCGGTCAACGATTAACGACTGTTGTACTTCGTCGACAAGGGTTACGGCTCGAGTGTCACTTTCAGGCACGTAACAAATTCCTTATCATAAGACTCCCCTTCATTGCTGAAGGTGCTCGAGCTTGGCGCACTTGGAGATTCCACAGAGCTCGGCGCATTGCAGCTACTGTTGACATCGCAGCTTTTTGGTGAGGAAGTCAGCTGCCATGTTGCCAATAGGACAGTATGTCAGGTCCAATTTTCCTTTGTCGATTTCGTTCTTGACGAAGACGTATCATAGGGCGAAGTGCTTTGTGCCATTGATAAAGCGGGGCTTGTTGGTGATCTTGATTGCACTTTGGTTGTCGCAGTGTAACTTGAAGGTTGGCGAAGTGCTGAGTTTCGCCTCCTGCAGCAATTCTTGGGGGTTTAGTCTTTTGCGAACGATGGAGGTTGCTGTTATGCACTCTGCTTCAGCTGAGGAGAGGGCAAACAGCTCCTGTTTCCGTGAGTTCTAGGAGATAGGTCCAGTACGCTCTACTCGGAAGATGAATCCTGTGTGAGAGCGGCGGTTAGCGGGGTCTGCAGCGTGGTCTGCGTTGACGTAGCCATTGAGTTGGTGTAGTAGGTAAGGCCGATGTGGGGAGTCGAAATGAAATAAAGGAGAGCACGCTGTAGATCTAGGAGGTTCTCCCCCTCAGGTCGCCGCGAGTACTTGGCAAGCTGGCTGCCGATGTAGGATAGGTCAAGCCGGCATGTGACAGCGGCAAATAGCAGGCATCCGAGCTGCTGCTGGTAGAGTTGCTGAGCAGCAGGAACGAGCGTCTTGGTGTCGGGCTTGTAGACGGCGGCGGGTGTGCGGTAGGGTGTGGAGAGCGGTGCCGGCGTTAGGTTGAATTTCTTCACGAGAGTCTCAGCATAGTTCGATGCGGAGAGGTGGATGGCCTCTGGCGTGTAGGAGATGCTAAGACTGAGAAATTGGGTCACGGTCTTGGAGGTGGTGATGTCGACGCGCTCTCCTAGGCTTCGCTCGAACCGATCAAGCAGGTCGGGGTTGGTGCCAGTGTAGAGCAGGTCGTCGACGTAGAACATGAGGAGAATGTAATCCCTGCAGAAGTGGAGATGGTACACCCCGGGGTCGTGAGGTAGCTGGATGAAGCCGATCTCCAGCAGAATCCCGTGGAGATGTTGTTGCCAGATACAATGGCGAAAACAATTGTCCGTATGTTTTGCATAAATTTGGGTTTTTAGGCTTTAAGACCACTATACATTAAGCCTTAATGTTTAATGGTGGTACGATTTGGGAGGGGCACATAGTGGATGTGTTCATAACATAAATATACATAATAGTACATTGGATCTAACTCATATCCCAAAAGATATACAAAGGGTACATCTGGACAAATCGTTTCAAGCATGGAGAGCAAACTTCAAAAGTGTGTTTCTGGTTCCTAGCCCACCGACCTTGGCCTTGTTCACCGCCCGCACCCTCCTAGGCGAGCTGTCAATGAGGCTAGAGCAAACCTCGGCATGGATCTTCTCCCATTCTTCCTGGACCAATTCTTAAAGCTCTAGCATTCCAGAGGAAGGCCTTTTCTTCTTGGCTAGCTCCCTTTTCAGGTAAGCCCAGAGATTGAGGTTTGGTGAGAAAGAAGGCCACTCCAGAGCTCCATACTCATGTTCTCCAAGTCATTCATGCACTAGGCATAACAATTTTTTGGGGTCATTGTCCGCACCGAGATGACCTGAGAGGGGAAAATGCTATAGAAATGGGGGGTCAATTCGAGTTCGTCATACAAAATGCCCTCATACAGGGGCCTCTCCATGCGTCCGTCAATCTTGTGTATGAACCCCACCCCCGCACATGTCATACATCCCCACACCATCACCGATCCTTGTCCCCATGGTTCACCGTATGTTTGATTTGGTAGTGGTGCAGGGTTGTGCCTTCACGAATCCAGGCAAACGCGTGGCCATTGGAGCTAAAGTAGTTGATGTTGGTCCCATTTGACCATATCACATGCTTTCAAACACTAGTTGTCCACTCAGCATGCGACTCCATGAATTGCAGCCGACTCCTGATTATTTTCCAGAACTGTCTAAGCTTCTATGACTGGTGCACCGTGACTAGACCCGCAGACCCTAGTGTGTTTTTAATGGTGCAAGGGTGCACAGTCAACCGTGCAACATTACCCTCAATCTCGTGGTGTCTACGCTAGATTTTTCTGCTCTATTCGTGATTTTACTCTACAATGGTAGAATGAAGACGATCCGTGGTAAGATGGGCCCGACCGGATAATTGCATCTTTGGCCACACCTCAGTATGGCTAGTCTTAAAGAACCATTCAATCCAAATTCGTCCACAATACTCTTGCCTACGCCCAACTTTTTCGCGATTTCCCTAGTGCTCACCCCTTATGGTGGGTCCAGGAAGAGTGCAAGAAATTCCCTGCCGAGGTTTGTACTAACCTCGTAGGTAACATGGCTAGGAGGGTGCGGGTGGTGATCAAGGCCAAAGGTCGGTAGGCTATGTACCAAATACGCAATTATGAAGTTTGCTCTATCTGCTTGAAAATATTTGTCCGGATGTACCCTTTGTATATCTTCTAGAACATGAGTTAGATCCAATGTACTATTCTGGATATTTGTGCTATGAACACATTCAATATGTGCCCCTCCCAAATCGTACCACCATTAAATATTAAGGCTTAATGTATAGTGGTCTTAAAGCCTAAAAACCCAAATTTATGTAAAACATACGGACAATTGTTTTCGCCACTGTACGAGGTGCATGCTTGATCTCATAGAGGGATTTTGGCAGCTGGCAGACTCGTGGGTCCCCGTCGCGTAATTATGA